CACTCTCCGCGTGACGTCATGCGCGCTGGCGGACGAAAATCGAACAGCGGAGCATACGGCCCTGGATAGATACACTTTCGGCAAAAATATGTGATCATCCCCTACAGGCCCCAACCCGGATTCTTTACCTCTGCAAAAAGATTGAGTTTGAGCGATTTTTATTTATTTCATTTTTTGCTATTTATGCTGCCGTAACTGGGCCGAATTTCAAGAATTTCATAGCTTTTTCGCCCTTGCCATAGTAGTGTGAAAGGATACTTTTTACTTAAGTTATGACAGGCCAAGGATCAGCGGAGAGACAGACCGACAGACTCACGGGAATGAGTAACATGGTTTTTCGTGATCTACATATCAAGTAACATTCAAAAAATTATACATCGTTTTCGGAATTTTCGATTACAGAACTTCCGCGCCTGTAGGCGTGGGAAGTAAAACGGAATTTTAGTTTTTGTTGGAGTTACGTCCTCTAGCGCTACCTTTGTTACAAAATGTTTGAATCGATAGCTCTAGACTTACTAGGCATTTTAGGCAGTTGTAGGAACATAATTCTTTCACCTTACTCGACTTATCAAATCCTTAAGGCAATCTCCCCAATATAATTCCCATTATTTCAATGAATTCTGGAATACTGGCAAGCACATCAATTTCCTCGGTGGCTGATGTTTGAAAATTAAAATTTAATTCCAACAAGCAGCTAAAATGCTCTAATAAATCACCGTTATCTGCCTCGGCGTTCATCCTTAAGAGGATCGCTCTCCAGTGTTCAACCAAATTGATTTGTTTCCCATAATATCCATATTCAAGAACGGTAATTATAGAGTGACTGCTTTTTAAAAAAGACCGCTTCGCTGGCCGAAGATGCTCGGAAGAAATTGAGGCATCCGAACGATTAGCTTTTGTTCGACATCGGGCGAACAAGGGGAAAGCAAAAAAAGGTGTCAAGTAGGTTGACTGCACTTCCTACGCATTGCCGTCATCAATTCGTAAAGGATTAAGTTTAGCACAGTTAAGCGCTCTTAGGGAAAATTAGTTAGGAACATGTACAATAGAGATATTAAACGGATGAAGTCAGAGGTCCACATAATTAGTCTATAGACATTGTTTCGCTGCCCTACCGGTAGTTACCGTTCATCTGGCAATGTTCTCACTTCTCATATATGCTCATACGCGGCAGCGCCCACCGAACCAGCGCCGCAATGCGAGCAGACCGTTACGCCGGACGATGAGTCCAGGCACAGTTTTATATAGAAATGTACGGTGTATGATGTGTGAAATATGGCTAATAGGTGCGGAGAATTACCGGGGTTGGGAGCGTATGAATATACTAACAACGTACTCTCGCCCACCCCTACAATTCCCAACCCCCAACAACTAACCGCTACAAAAGTGTTTTCCAAAATGGTCCCTGAAATGTCAAAAAACGAAGTTTGAGCGATTTTTACTGTTTCGTATTTTTGCCAGCAGCTCCGCCGTCACTGGATCGATTATCAAAACCTACATAGCCTTTTCGTTTTTGGCATAGTGGTAACCTTGTAGGGAGATTTTATCAAAATCCGAGTGGTACCTTCCAAGTTATAGACTGGTCAGACAGATAAACCGACAGACAGACCGATGAAAATGAGGGATATGTTTTTTCGTGATATCGTACATATCATACCTATAACATACAAAAGATATAATAACTCATCGTGACGTAGGAAGCACAAATAGATAGGTATAGGTTATTTTCACGGTTTGTGGTGATTACGTCACAATTATATGAAATAAGTAAACATATTGACCATGTGTCTAGCTTAATTTCACTAACTGAGCAAGCCGATTCTTAACACAGTTGCTATTCGCTCTTGAATATGAATCGGGTGATAGAGTATTTATTCTTGTGTTCATTCACTTTCTGAATAAATTTAACACAAACTTTCTACATTGTAGTTGTATCTTCAGGCTTTACTATACTTTATTATAGCAGATTAACAAAGGACAATCTCAAGTTGCATGCCCGTGACAAGCAAATTGTCATACCGACCGTGATAAGCGTAAATGTGGAAGACTCATACGTTGACGTGAACATTTTCGAGGTAGTGAGACAAGACTAAGAAATGTACCTCTCTAAGGTTATACAACCAAACATCTGCGTATAGATGCCGACTGCATATTTACGTGTGAGGAAGATGAACGTATGAAAGCAATTCTCATATATTCACTGTGACCCGCTAAAAACCGTGAAATGACCTATTAGTTAAACGTATTCTATCGAGTTTAATTTGGTTTTAGCAACAGCAGACGGAAATAGAAAATATGTTGTATTGATAAGTTTTAAAGGAAAAATTTTCAAAAACTCCTGTGCCTCGCCACCTCAACCAAAGGTAGCTCCTTGTGTGAATCTGGTAAGTAAGTCGCGAAACTGTTCTTTGTATATCGGCACACCAAATAGGACTTCGCACTCTACCATTTTTTGATGGCCGTTTTAGAAATTTGCCTTACAACAGTGGGAAATGGAAATTTTACGTTTAATCTAAAATCCGAATTAGAAGCGACATCCACTCGTCTGTTTAATGGATAAAAAGTATTTTATATCATATTTAGTATGTTAAAAAAAAGCTTCTGGCGAGACTATAAATAATTGCAAATTACAAAATGACCTTTTAATAAAAGTTGCACTAATTAGCTTTACAGATAAATTTAATACCAAACGAAAGTATGAAGTCGATATGATATGCAAAACGTTGGGTTGACTTTCTCCTGGCATAACTATTGGATTGGCAGGATTTGTTTAATAAATTAATTTTATGTCAAAATAAGCGCTTTTTCATTGCGAACACGATTATATAGGGTTGTCTACAAAAAACCTGGCTCGAATGATGGTTGGCAGGTTCTTAGTAGTGAAAATTTGATGTGAATGGAAACTTGCGACAAAGAGATCCGAGATACGTATCCCGTGCGATAGAAGAAGACGCATGTAAGGGATTTAGCTTTACTTTATTGTTGTGATTAATTTAAAAAAATAATTAATCTCAGAGTATAAACTTGTCTTAAATGATTTCAAGGGTGTACCCAGGGAAGGCATGTTGCCCCCTTTTCCCTAGCAGCTCGGTAAAAATTACATGGAGAGAACATTTTGTACAAAAATTAAATTATTGATGGATTCTCCACAAGCTGAATCAATATCTATTAGATGAGAAATTACTAGGATTCGTTGAAATCTATGTTATACTCGTAGAATTTTGATCTAACGTTTCAGCTCTCACTAAAACACAAAGTGGCAATAAAAGGTAAAACAAACTTGATAAAACCTAGTTTAAAATTTAGAAGAATAATAAAATAAGATGGTTAAAAAATTATGGAATATTAAAAGTTTTTTCATGTTTGTACTCAAAAGTCCTTACACACGTCTGGAGAACAATAAAATGTATTACAAAAATATCACATACACAAAAAATACAATCGAAAACAAAGTAATAAAACAAATAGTCAACAATTATGGAACAAAGCCGGTAAAATCGTTATTTAAGAGCTCAACTATGCCGTAAAAGGCTTTCGTCATGAGACATATTTTCACAGTTGCTTTAAAAATAGTTGAGTTAAGCATTTGACAAAACCTGGGCAGCGCATTAAAAAATTTCACGCCGAAATAATTACTTCCTTGACTAGTTTTTGATAGTCTTGTCTACTGTGATATTAATTCATTGTTGAACATTGTGTTATATTTGTGAATCTCTTTCGGAGTTCTGTAATCATAGTAATTATTTTTAACGTGGATCAGCCATGCCAGTATACCTATATATGCAGGGCACAGTTAAATTTTTTAGGTCGATAAATGTCTTGCAACACTGTCTGAAATGTAAGTTTGCTATTATTCTCAAGTATCGTCTCCGAACAGTAAATACCTTCGATAAATGACATGAATGACCCAAAGTCAGTATGCAGTATTGCAAGTTTGATTGTAAGTAAGCATAATGGGCTGTCATTAAAGTCGATTTTATTACGTAGGTATTTAAACTACTCATCAAATATGTTATTTTAGATAACTTCTTTGATGAAGAGGTGATGTGTGATTCCCAACTTAAGCAGGCATCAATAATCACTCCTAGAAATTTCACGGGTTCTGCTAAATTACCTCTATGTGGACGAGTACTGAGTAAAAGAGATTGAGTTTTCGCTATGTTGATTGACAAACTGTTAGCATTAAACCAGTTCTGAATGTTGTGAAAATGCTGCTGAGAGTCGAGTAATACATGGTCATAGTTACTATTGGAGGATATTGATGTCGTATCATCCGCAAATAATATATATTGATTGATGCTACAGTTTGGCAGATCATTGATGTAAATCAAAAAAAGAATCGGCCCCAAGACACTTCCTTGGGGAACTCCGTGCTTAACATGTACACTGTTAGATAAACAATTTTGAAAACTAACATACTGTCTTCTGTCTGATAAATAATACGCAATTAAGGACAGGCTGTTATTACTAAAACCATATAGCGACAGCTTTGAATCAAAATGTGATGTTGGACACAATCAAATGCTTTTGTAAGATCACAGAAGTTAGCGAGAGCAAACATGTTATCTTCCAGACATTTGTTGATGAAACTGATCGTTTATTGCTGCTTTCGTTGATCTGTTGGTACGGTATCTAAACTGGTTGTTACAGAATAAATTGTTACCTTCGAAGTATTCACATATCTGATTCTTCAGAAGTATTACGAAATTTTTTGCTATAATTGGTATTATAGAAATGGCTGTGAAATTACATGGATCATTCTCACATCATTTCTTGAAGACTGGCAGAATCTTTGCAAGTTTCAATAAGGCAGGAAGACATTATTTTCTATACACATGTTTATCAATTTTGTCATAGGATATACTATCAAGTTATTTAAGGTCTTTATAATTTTAACGCCGATGTCATATGGATCTTGACTTTTAGAATTCTTTAAGCTTTAGACTGCATCTCGAACATCATTGAATGAAACAGTTCGAAAGTTGAAATGTAGTGATCACTAGTCTGTATAAAATCTTTGAACTTCGACTGAGTAGCTGGAATTTCAGCAATAATGGCTTCATCAATGCTAACGAAGAAAAAGTTTAAATTATTCGCGTTGAGAGTGGACGAATGTGATTTTGATGATTGCACACCATTGGCTTTAATCACATTCCGCATAGCTGCTTGTTTATTTGACGCTCTACGTATATATTTATTATGAGCATTCCTTTTCTTAATTCTGATTGCTGGTCGGTACGCAGATTTGAATAGATTAATCTCTTTCTTTGATACTACCTGAAAATTAGCTTTATTAATTTGTGTTATTAGTGTCAAATTCTCTCTCATCTGAGCCAATTCGGGATCAAACCAGTTGATTTTGTTGCGAAAACCCTCTGATACTAACCTAGATTTGATTGGCAAGCACTCAGCGACATTATTTGTTAAGATGTTTATGAATCGTTCGAGTTTAGTGGTCGACGATAAACTAATATCAGTCAAAAAGATCCAGTCGACTGTTTCAATTTTACTGTATAATTTGAAAAGACCTTCATCAGTGACAGACCCTCTTCCTAACAGGTTTTAAAGTTTTCAAATTAAAATTGTCAGAAAAAAAATTATCGAAGACTTCTAGAACTATACTTGACATATTTATATTGATGAAAATATTATCTAGACAAGCATTCTGCCTAGTATTCTCATTCGCAGTCTGATACAGTCCAAAAGACACACAAATATCACACATCACGTTCGCATGCCTGTCGTGAGTGTTAAATTTAAAATTAAAATCACCAGATATGATTACATTTTGCTTATAATCTAAAGTGCTAAGCAGTATTTGAAGCTTATTATAGAATATATTGAAGTCTCCATTTGGTGATATATACAGGGTGTCCCGAAAAAAGTGTGCAATATTCTACCAGCAGTTTCTAGAGCTTAAAATAGGAAGAAAAGTTTATATAGGTTTACATAGGTCGACAAACGTCCCCTAAGGGCGCTAAGGTCTTTTAAAGGGGCTCCCCTGAAGATGGTTTTTCCTTAATATTTCCGAAACGTGTTGAGATAAAGACATAAAATTTGGTATTTCAGCCTAGTTTTTTATGCTGGATTTAAAAATATTAACAATTTTAGACAGTTTTGTTTGGAAGCGTATGTAACAGGGACGGACTCAGGTTATTTTAGCCCCAAAATTTTTGTGTGATTCTATTTTTGGAATTCAATTTTAGAATTTGAAAATTTAGGGTTTTCTACATAAAAAGGCATTCTATTGAATATCGATAAATTGTGCCATTTTTGAATAAAATCAAACTAAAAAATTTGTCACATGATAAGGAAATGTACTGCGAATTTAAGTGAATTGTTGATTATCCATAGTTAGCCATGACTGCAAACAAAAGTTGTTTTAATTTGGTATGTATGACTTATTTTGACGTTAAGCTCACATTGTTAGCAGTCTAAAATTACTAGATTAAAACCAAAATTTTTATTAAATCGATTTGAAATGCCAAGATTTACAGACAGAGAACTGACTGACATGCATTTTATGTACGGGTTTTACAATGGCAGTTCATTGGCAGCCGTAAGAGAATATCGAAGAAGATTTCCCAATCGCATAGTACCTGGACGTCGAATGTTTACTGATATTCACCGGAATTTGTCAAACCATGGAAGTTTTCAGCGCATGCAGGGCTCAGGAAGGCCACTGGGAAATCATCGTCTGGATATTGCTTTAAATCTGTTTGAAAATAATCCGCAAATAAGCATATGAAAAGTTTCAGAAATTATGGATATACCTCGATCAATAGTAAGAAAAATTTATGAATACCTATTTGATAGTTATCATAAAAATAATAATTTTAGATAGGAATAATGACAAGAATGCAAGGATTACATCCTTATCATTATATATATATATATATATATTAGCAAATGAAAACACTATTCCTAGAATATTATGGTCGGATGAGTCAGTATTTACTAGGAATGGTGCTTTTAATTTCCATAACATGCATCACTGGTCAGATGAAAATCCAAAAGTTGTTCGCCGTACAAATTTCCAACATAGATTTTCATTGAACTTATGGGCAGGAGTAATTGGGCCGATTGTACTTCCCAATCGTCTTAATTTAGAGGTGTATCTGAACTTTCTTCAGAATGAGCTCATGGATATAATACCATTGGATGTGCGCCAGCAGTTTCAAGAAAATATGTTTTTTCAACATGATGGCGCCCCTGCACATTTTGGACGCAATGTTCGAAATTGGTTGAATGTCAACTTTCCAGACAGATGGTTAGGCCGTGGAGGTTCTATAGCGTGGCCGCCACGTTCACCTGACGTAAATCCATTGGATTTCTATTTTTGGGGGTCCTTAAAAGACCTAGTTTACTCGACTGAAGTAAATACTCAAGAAGATTTACTTCAAAGGATCCATCAGGCTGCAAATGAAATAAGAAGAAAAAGGTTTTCCACTTTTCGAGCTACGCGATCATTAGTTCGTCAAGCGAGACTCTGTATCCAACAAAATGGGAATTTATTTGAACGCTTATTGCAAAGCTAGTTTTAAGTATATCCAACTGTATGTCTTCTTTTTTAAACAAATTTCAATTTCGTTCGCAGAAAAAATTTATTTCTTTTGTTTTTGGCTTATGTTGCTATAGAAATATGTACCTATTTATGTAATATTTACCAATTATAAAATTATTTTTTTCGTTGCCATGGCTAATTATTCAACAATTCATTTGAATTCGCAGTACATTTCCTATAATGTGACAAATTCTTTAGTTTGATTTTATTCAAAAATGGCACAATTCATCGATATTCAATAAGAGTACCTTTATTATGTAGAAAACCCCAAATTTTGAAATTCTAAAATTGAACTTCAAAAATAGAATCACACAAAAATTTTGGAGCTAAAATAACCTGAGTCTGTCCGTGTTACATACGCTTCCAAACAAAACTGTCTAAAATTGTTAATATTTTTAAATCCAGCATAAAAAACTAGGCTAGATTACCAAATTTTATGTCTTTATCTCACTTCAAAAATAGAATCACACAAAAATTTTGGAGCTAAAATAACCTAAGTCCGTCCGTGTTACATACGCTTCCAAACAAAACTGTCTAAAATTGTTAATATTTTTAAATCCAGCATAAAAATTTAGGCTAGATTACCAAATTTTATGTCTTTATCTCCACACGTTTTGGAAATCTTAAGGAAAAACCATCTTCAGGGGAGCCGCTTTAAAAGACCGTAGCGCCCTTAGAGGCCGTTTGTCGACCTATGTTTATATGAACTTTTCTTCCTATTTTAAGCTCTAGAAACCGCTGATATTGCACACTTTTTTCGGGACACCCTGTATATATATAACACCCTGTATAATGCTAGTACTATTTGACAGGAAATAACAGAGCTCAATCTGTGATCTATCGCATATGTATATTAGTAGGGAATTGCTACAGGGAGCTTAAATGTTTGAGCACTATTTTTAGTGTTTCTGGCTTTATCTGTCTTCATGATAGATACCATGTTATGACACACAGCTACGATTAACAGCTATGAAGTCTTAGACAATGTACAATAAAACGAGCTATTAAATTTTCTTTTGGTACCGCGATTCTTGCATAGATTGCCGCTTTTTTAATAATGTTATTTTAATGGCAGCTAAGTGATTGATGACCAAGCTTCATCTCAACTTACAGTTGCCAGGTTAAATGCTTAGCCCTTGGGTGCATCTGCTTTTATTAGAAAATGGCTTAAGTATAATGTACTGTTTATCTGATCTTTCTTATAATATGTTATAGCCATCATCAAGCTTTCATTATTACTTCTATCATTGACCAGGTACGGAACTGTGTTTTGGAAGCATTGAACACTAAATTGTTGCGTCGGCCCCTTCAGAGATCGGCTTTCTGAGTTCCTGCATGTAAAGTGCTGTCATCAGCAAAGATGTGGTTCAGATTGATCGTACATGGAAGAGCTTTGTTGATATGTAATAAAAACAATGTTGGAGGTAAGACCTAAGACCTGGGGAACAACCGCTTTGACATTGTGGGATGAAGAAGAGAACATTTCAATTACGACGGACATCCTGTGGCCAGAGAGGAAGACGGACATCCTGTGGCCAGAGAGGAAGACGGCCCCCCATCTGCAAAGCTTTTCTTAGAGGGTATATTATTGAAGTTTGCATAAGAGGGCAGCATGCCATAGATGATCGAAAACTTCAATGGTATCAAGAGCAACGACATGAAACTAGCCATATGACTTGACAATTTTACTCAACAGTTGCCTGATGTAAGGTACCTTTGATTATCTTGTGGTGGAGCATGTTAATTATTGCATTATTCAAATTTTGGCTCTGTGTAAAGCATCCTTTTCAATCCTAAAAAAACAGTTATCCAGTTCTGTAGCCCTTTTCAAATTCAATAATTGATGTAAAATTTTATCAGTGCATTTCTTCGCAAGACCCCTGCCGCTGGTATCAAGCTATATTTACCAAATTCGTCCAAATACGAAATTATATATTTATCTCGAAATTACAGTTAAACGGTAGTCGGGGTTCGTTTTCCAAATTATCGGTAATTGCTAACAGTACACGAAACTTTCACTGGCTGAGCTCAACCTGAAATTACTTACTTTCCACCAAAGTCGCCGTTACTCCTTTTTGCTTCTCCTTCAATCCATAGACGTTCTCAGAGCCTTTGGGGGGGGACAAAGGATTACCTCGAAATTGAATTTTTGTATGCAAGGTACTATAAGATATAAAAAAGTTCACATAGATACAGCTGCAGTTTTTGTTTCCAAACTATGGGATTTCTTAGTCAAAGCGAAAACCTCGCACTCGTGGGAGCCATGTTTCGACTCGTTTTTTTCTATAATCACACGATGCCCTTCAAGATTAATCAAGAGATTGCCGGGTGTTGACTAGGTGCAAATTTTTTTAAACAAATCACAAACATTGATTTTTTTAGGCTTTTTGAATCACACCTCAGGCGAATGTAAAAGTATTTGCTGTGATCCATCAGTAATTATCAAAGAATTTGATATATGTATATATTGTAGCTAGGAAATCAGTTATTACCGATGAGTTACATGGAAATCTACTGACACTGACCCAATTATCAATAAATGCTGATTGAACACACCATGGTGAATATTTGCATTCGCATTTCTTCTCTATAAAGCTTACCGTTTTCGATTTACAGGCGACCTAAAGTCTGAATACCTTAAAAATGGCCAACTTCAGCACTTAAATGCTCTCCCTAATACAAAAAGACGCAAAACCACCAAAAATTAACTTGGGCTACTACTACTCAACAAACATGTTTACTCGGGTAATGTTAATCATTTCAAATGAAAGCAAAAACGATCATCGTTTATAGTCCTTAAAATCTCCCCCAACAAATTAGTGTCAAAATACCTGTCTATAGACCCACAATATCAATAACACATCTCGAAATCTTCCCCCATGGTCTATTTTAAGGGATACGCAAGGCAGGTAAAATCGATTCGTAACGATTGGAAATCGGTAATCGACTCCTGTTTGCCCTTTTTAATCCTCCTTTTGTGGGACATAATGGTAGTATAACCACTTTACAAATACTCGGCTTTCAGGGATTTGCACCTGTATAGGTACGGATTTTTTGCCTCTTACTTCCGGTCTTGGATAAGGGTCCTCTCATTTAAATTATGTGTTATAGAATTGGATCACTGAATATAATAAGATTTTTTCCCTATTAAAACTCATATCGCTCACCTAATTAGAGTTATGGCTAGCCCACAGGTTTTTAGAAAGCGTTTGTTTTATTTGGACGTTCATTTACTTTCCACGCATGCTGGCGAGCAAGCATTGTAATCGCAAAAAAATAGAATATAATATATGTTTTTTGGATGTTATGTATATGACATGTACGTCACGAAAAACTATGCCACTCATTTCCAACTGTCGGTCCGCTAATCATTGGCCCTACTATAACTTGGAGAGTACCGCTCAGATTTGGGTAAAGTCTTCACACAAGATTAATACTATGCCAAGGACGCAAACGATTTGTAGTTATTGAAAATCGGTCCAACATCGAAGGATAAAAACGCCAAAAACTAAAAAAAAACAACGATTAAGCGTGGTTTTTTATCCCAGTAATTCTAAGTACATATTTCACTTATCATTGGTGTCCTCGTACATTTACCCTTAAAACTTAGAATGTCTCCAACAGTCGGGTGTAGATACGTGCGATTCATTTAGATTTAAATTATTTATTATCCTTTAGAGATTGAGATATCTGTATAGAATTTGTCAACCTACATGTCTAACAATAAATAAAAATGAAAAAACAATAAACAAAATAAGAATTGTACACAAACAAATTCTGAGACGGAATAGTAACATTTAGGAATTATTTCAACTTCGGTTATTAGTCTTTGGTAGTCTATTAAATACTTTAGGTCCCAGTACATCGGACGATTTGATACCAACATTGTGTTTAGCAAAAGCTACATTCAAATAATTAACCTGCCTGGTTTTATAAAATGTATGAATTTATTAAAAACTTATCTTAGTTATTGAAAACATACACAGACAGTTCATGTAAAAACAATGAGGGAAGGCTTGAAATCTTAAGTCTACTAAAAATACCTTTACAAACTGTCAACTTCAACCAAATATCTAATCACTCAAAAATATATGCTGAGCGTTACTTGTCAAGTCCCAGAAACACAAAGCGTATCTTAATCTTGACTCTTCTTGGTTATAGTAAATAGCAACTCACTGACTCTCCGAAAGAACTGTTTTCTAATTTCGGGTTGCATATTTATGTATTGGAGTTTAATTAATCCCAGAAACTTTACTTGACTCTCATCGAGATTTCGGTATATATGTATGTGCTAATTTCTGTTTGTTTCTCGTTGTTCTCGGTAAGTTTCCCGCCGAGGTATTTCTACTCTCTTATTTTTCAAAATAACCCCCCGCTTGTTGTTAATGTATGCGGTATCTTTACTTACCGATATCTCTACCAGGTCCCTTCTGTCCAATTTTCAAATTTCCCCAACCGTACATCTCCCTCTCGGCAAACGCATCGCCTAACGACATCGGAAGATTGGAAACGTCCTCCATTTTCAATTATCCCCCTTCTTTCCCCTCCCGTCCAAACTTCCAAGTCCTAATTGGAGGACGGGGAGGCAGGAGGCAACCAAAGAAACAGCATATACAATACTACACAGCAACTTACGAGTATAAGGTGAAAAGTTCTCGACTTCAATCAAACAGGTAGCAAAAATAATGCATTCTAGCACATGTCATTTGATTATTTTCGTTTTCCTCAAAGTTTAGAGTTTTCCTAACAGAGCATATGCATAGATCAGACAATAGTAAATAAGTTTTCCTAGTAGCACATATACCCAAGCTTTAAGATAACCGAGATATTAAGTTTCGTAAACTCTAAACTAAATGGGCCAGTACTAACCTGCCTCCACCCCCTCCAACCCTCCTCTTCATCCTCTTTTACCTCCTCTGTGAAAAACTATGGTATTTTATGGTACTATGTGAGTGAGTAGCCAAATCGGGCGTCGTTCAACGTGTAGGTTAACCTATTTTATAATCAAGTCGCATTTGAAAAACCAAAATTGGCACATTCGTACGTAGTTAACGATTTGATGTTTAATTTGAGCGTCTTCAATATCTGTAGATACTCCGCGAGTGTATCCACAATGTCGTCCTCAATGTTTCCATCAGAGCTACATAGGCTTGTATATCATGCATCCTTCTGGGTGGACACAGTAGAATATCTAGACAGCAAACGTACTCGTGTTTTTGAATGGAACCGCGACAACTTCAAACACGATTTACAAACAAAACATATTTTTCTTCAATTTCTTTTTTACGTTTTCTGGGCTGTTGAGATTTGTTATTCCAGACGTAGTTGTTTCTGAAATGGATAGTCCCAACTTTCAGGACACTGTATGTGAATGATGTTGAAAAATGCTTAATTCACTTTGTATGCAGACGATGCATACATCACAATGTCTAGTGTATGTGGGCCAATGTCGATAAATATCTGTTAAGCAAAATTCATGATAGGTTTTTGGTGAATCAGTTTAATTTGAATCTAGACAAAACATCAATTCTGGGATTCCGTAACAGGCAACAAGGTGTGGTGCCTTTGGAGTACTCCTATGACGATCAGCTATAATACAAAAGTTTTCGGCTTATATATTCATGAACAGCTTGAATTCAAGAACCGTTGTGACTTTTTATCAACGAAACTAAACAATCTGTCCTTAAGTTGGGACAACTATGTCAATTGTATTTAAAAGGAAGTTAGATTTGTTTCGTACAAAATTAAATACCTTGCGAATATGCTGACATAAAGGTATCTTCGTACATACACTCATTGAGCATCATCTCACATATGGTATACTAGCATGGAAAGCTTCATGTTCATCACATATCTATAATTCAGATATTTTTCAAAAAAGTATTCTGAAAATTATGTTAAAAAACCGATTACCTTTTTCCCACTAACGAATTATGCGCAGTTGTATAAGTGTGTGATAAAAAACAGCTTCATTTATTACACATTATTACTCACTACCATACATTTTTCAACACCGACAAAAATTTAAGCATAAGCAACGATTCAAGGTACAAAATCCATGGTACAGTGGCTCATTAGCTACATAAATATACTAAGTGACATATACATCCGAACACCCAGTTTAAATGGTTTTATTTTAATAAAATTTTGTATAAGTACTTAATGAAGCATAATAAGTAAATGATAAAAATTTCAAAATGATTGCACTGCTTTAAAGCCCTTTGACCTTTAATAATGTGTGGATGCACCCTGATGTGCTACGCATTCTCCAACGCGCCTAGGCATGCTTCTGATCAGGTGGTCAATGTCCTCCTGTGGTATCTCATTCCAGGCAACCACCAACTCCTCTCGAAGTGCTTCTAGAGTCTGAGGAGGACGTTGCAAATTGAGCAATCTCCTACCCATCATATCCCACACGTGCTCAATTGGGGATAAGTCGGGAGATCTTGGTGGCCATGGTAACAATGTGACATTATGTTGAAAGAAGTCTATTGTGACTCTTGCATCATGTGGTCGGGCATTATCTTGTTGGAAAGTTGGATCTGCCAGGGTGTCAAGATCGGGTAAAAGATGGGGTTCTAGAACTTCGTGGATATAACGCTGCGCGTTCATGTTACCTCTGATGAAGGTTAAAGGTGACCTGGAACCATAAGCTATAGCACCCCAAACCATAACTCCAACAGTGTGATGAACATGTCTTTCAACAAAAAACTGTGGATTCCTCCTTTCACCACGTCGCCTTCTAACCCTGGCACGACCATCGTGCATGCCTAAACAAAATCGAGACTCGTCACTAAAGACAATACTGTTCCATTCCTGATCCCAGAGTGACCGTTGTCTGCACCACTCAAGGCGATTACGTCGGTGTTCTCGAGTTAAAGGGAGGGACCCAGTGTGGCCGATATGAAAACAAGCCAAAACTTCTCATTCGTCGGTAAACACTTCGCATGCCAATAGGTCTTCCGTGTTCTGCAAACCATTCATTTGCAATGTACCTGGTAGTTGAGAAACGGTCCCTTAGGGCCAATAATCTTAGGCGGCGATCTTCACGGTCTGTTGTTCTCGGGCGGCGTCCAGTGCCCCTTGCTCTTTGCGTACGGCCTTCTCGAAGCCATGCCTGACAACACCTAACCACAGTGTCTACACTTCTTTGCACTCTAACTGCAATTACCCGAAAAGAAAGTCCAGCTTCCCGAAGTCCCACTATACGGCCACTATCAAACTCACTAAGTTGACGAAATCGTACAGGTCTCCGTACTCTTGGCATCGTAACCGATCGTAAAGGATGTCAACGTTGATTCTTTACTGCGGCTGAAATATTAATTTTTAGAACGTTAGTTAATTAAAAAAAGCAGTATAAAAACCGGAATGTCCAACTGATAAGGCTGAAAATTTTTTCACTTGTTATTTACAGTACGATAAATACATTCACCAACTTTTATTAAAATAAAACCATTTAAACTGGGTGTTCGGATTTATATGTCACTTTTATAATCCATAAGGATTTAGAAGAAAAAGTGCTTAAATTCTGTTTCACGGACTGAAATTCATAATCTCATAAATACGAACATCAAGTGAATTAATAATCAACTGTGACTTATTCTTGCCCTATACCTTTTATTCTATTCTACAGTTACAGATTGAAATTATTGGCCAATGCCAATGCCTCCTATGGGGCCTGTTTTTATTTCATATTTATTTACTCATGTTGTTTTCTTTGTAATTGAGTGAATAAATATTATTATTCTTATTCACTTAAAAGCCTAAGGATTGTTGTTAATCGACCTCAGTTATTTACATTATATTACGCCCAGTTGGAACCGCGGCTGAGGTATGAAATGTGTTTCAGAGATATTCTATAGACGCACAGAATGTATGTTTATGCTAGAAAAGTATAATACGGTGCATAGCCAAAGTAACCCTTTGTACCAGCTGTAAAGACATTTTTAAGGAATATCAAGGTTTTTATTTTTTAACCGTGTGTGTATATATCTTTAAATAGACAACGTTTCATTAATATCGATATTCTGAATTTGATGTTATTAGTAGATCGCCGAATGTTCTAGGCCCAAGAGTTGAAGCGGTTTCGATTGAGTGAAATTTTTACAGTGCCTGGATTTGTTTGTAAATAGTTGTTTATTTGTATACAGAAATCTTTATAGGCAGATCGTTCTACAATTTCGGCACCCTAACCCTAATGTAGGAGCTGTCGTACTGGCCAGTTCTGGATGTATGATGCTTGACACGGTTTGGGGTTTGGATGGGAAGCCGAAGTCAGGCAATTTTTTCTGGCAGGCGTATCGCGTGGCGGCATCATGGAGGAGAGCTCTGAGAAGCAAAACTCGTTGACATAGCGATAGAAGAGAGCTAGATTGCCGACGACCCGACAGTGCGACTATCCGATAGAGAAGGAGAAGAGTCATTGATCAGTCGGACAGCCTTCCTCTGACCAGCATCGAGCATGGCAATGTAGACGAGGCAGCAGCAGCTCAAACATGTGAGCAGTACTCGGGGCTAGGTCTTATTTTGGAATTGTACATAGTGTGGAGGTTATGCGGAGAAAAGTGCTTCTTAGCCCTAAACAAGCAGCCCGGCTTTTTTTCCAACAACTGCCGTTATTGTCGGGATATGTGCGTGACAGGTAAAGTCTTCAGCGATCTGGACTCCGACCAGCTGAAACGGTGATAACCTCCAGATCTCTTAACAGAAAGGAAGTCGCTGCTGGTCTTCTTCTTTCCAGCTCACCGGCAGAGATCGACTTGCCACTGCATGTAGGGTGTTGACATTAGCAAAGCCATGGATCACATTGGTTGTGCAGGATATGTAACAGAAACAATGTCGAAGCCAAGACTGGGGAACACACACATTGTGGGATGAAGAGGAGAACCCGTCAATTACAACGAATACTTTACAACCAGGTAGGAAGTCACCCACCCATCTGCAAAGTTCCTCTGGACAGCCACCGGATTGAAGTCATCCTGAGATCATTTTTAACTGAAAATCGCAACCTTTCATTGTTAGGCCAATAATCATTCACCTCACACTAACTTGTAAATATGAAAACTGCCAATGTAATCTTGCATATTTAAGAAACTGGATCCCTTGAGAACGCGTTTCATTTTATATCGAAAACGTACTTTGAGGTAATTACGTTGCTGTATAATATTGTATATGCTGTGCCAATGCCGCGCGGTCGTAGCTTTCCAGAAAAACTCAGCCTCTAACCTGCCTAAAAATAATGTATTATGCAAGTGACAGTATGAAAAATGTCGACGGGTTTCCCAGCGTATCATCGGCGTCTTCGGTGCCGAAAATTATAATTAATCGAAGTTGGCCCAGGAATGGAAGCCACAATGGACGAAGTAATGATACCCATTTAGATATTTATGGTGTACAATTAGACTAGAAGTTGGAGCAAACCAGGGTTGATGACAATAGCGGGAAAAGAAGTATTTTATAAATACGAATGACCCTAAGTAGAGCTTATCAAGCTGGTTCTTGTTCTCAGCAGCTTTTTTCT